TCATCGTTTGTCTCCCTTGGTGTATTATCGGCAATTACCTTTTGTAGACAGCTAAATGAGATTTCAAGTCATTCTGCCTGAGAAGGCCTTCCTCCCTAAGACATTCCTCCTTAAGGCTTTCCTCCCTAAGGCTTTCCTTCCTAAGGATTTCCTCCCTATGACCTTCTTCCCTAAAGCCATCCTCCCTAAGGCTTTCCTCCCTAAGGATTTCACCCCTAAGGATTTCTTCCCTTAGGCCCTCTTCCCAAAGACCTTCCTCCCTAAGGATTTCCTCCCTAAAGATTTCCTCCCTAAGGATTTCCTCCCTAAGGATTTCCTCCCTAAGACCTTCTTCCCTAAGGCTTCCTCCCTAAGGATTTCCTCCCTTAAGACCTTCCTCCCTAAGGCTTTCCTCCCTAAGGCCATCCTCCCTAAGGATTTCCTCCCTAAGACCTTCCTACCCAAGGATTTCCTCCCTAAGTCCTTCTTCCCTAAGACCTTCCTCCTTAAAGAATTCCTCCCTAAGGCCTTCTTCCCTAAAGCCTTCCTCCCTAAGGCTTTCCTCCCTAAGGATTTCCTCCCTATGACCTTCTTCCCCAAAGCCATCCTCCCTAAGGCTTTCCTCCGTAAGGATTTTCTCCCTAAGACCTTCTTCCCTAAGGCCTTCTTCCCTAAGACCTTCCTCCCTAAGGATTTCACCCCTAAGGATTTCTTCCCTAAGGCCTTCTTCCCTAAGACCTTCCTCCCTAAGGATTTCCTTCCTAAGGATTTCCTCCCAAAGGATTTCCTCCCTAAGACCTTCTTCCCTAAGGCTTCCTCCCTAAGGATTTCCTCCCTTAAGACCTTCCTCCCTAAGGCTTTCCTCCCTAAGGCCTTCCTCCCTAAGGATTTCCTCCCTAAGACCTTCCTACCCAAGGATTTCCTCCTTAAGACCTTCTTCCCTAAAGCCTTCCTCCCAAAGGCTTTCCTCCCTAAGGATTTTCTCCCTAAGACCTTTTTCTCTAAGGCCTTCCTTCCTAAGGATTTCTTCCCTAAGGATTTCCCCCCTAAGGATTTCCTCGCTAAGACCTTCTTCCTAAGGCCTTCCTCCCTGATTTCCTCCCTAAGACCTTCCTCCCTGAGGCTTTCCTCCCTAAGGATTTCCTCCCTAAGACCTTCCTCCCTAAGGATTTCATCCCTAAGACCTTCCTCCCTAAGGCTTTCCTCCCTAAGACCTTCCTCCTAAAGGATTTCCTCCCTAAGACCTTCCCTAAGGATTTCATCCCTAAGACCTTCCTCCCTAAGGCTTTCCTCCCTAAGGCCTTCCTCCCTAAGGATTTCCTCCCAAGACCTTCTTCCCTAAGGCCTTCCTCCCTAAGGATTTCATCCCTAAGACCTTCTTCCCTAAGGCCTTCCTCCCTAAGGATTTCATCCGTAAGACCTTCCTCCCTAAGGCTTTCCTCCCTAAGGCCTTCCTCCCTAAGGATTTCCTCCCTAAGACCTTCTTCCCTAAGATCTTCCTCCTTAAAGATTTCCTCCCTAAGGTCTTCTTCCCTAAAGCCTTCCTCCCTAAGGCTTTCCTCCCTAAGGATTTTCTCCCAAAGACCTTCTTCCCTAAGGCCTTCCTTTCTAAGGATTTCCTCCCAAAGGATTTCATCCCTAAGACCTTCTTCCCTAAGACCTTCCTCCCAAAGGATTTCATCCCTAAGACCTTCTTCCCTAAGGCCTTCCTCCCAAAGGATTTCCTCCCTAAGACCTTCTTCCTTAAGACCTTCCTCCCTAAGGATTTCATCCCTAAGACCTTCTTCCCTAAGGCCTTCCTCCCAAAGGATTTCCTCCCTAAGACCTTCTTCCGTAAGGCCTTCTTCCCTAAGGCCTTCCTCCCTAAGCATTTAGTCCAGTCACTCACCCCCTCCCCCCCACACTCAACGCTATACCATATTTGTACTTCAGTCATTCTTCCCCCAGTCCCACACTTTTTTTTCCTTCCAAAACAATGAAACCTTTAAAAGTTTTAATTAAATTTATTGAAACGTCACTGAGACAGAGGCGTAGCGAGGGGAGGGCATGGGGTATGTATGTCATATGACATATGTCCCCGGGCGCCAGCTATTTAGGGGCGCCAAAATGTGATTTGATATTATTTTATTGATGAAAATAATGGGTTTGAGAGTTGAGAAAAAGAAAAAGGGGCGCTTTCAAATGGATCTTGTCCCCAGGCGCGAATCTTGTCCCCGGGCGCCAAACACCCTCGCTACGCCGCTGCACTGAGATGGCCAAAAATTAGGGCTTTGCCTGTTGAAAAAAAAATTATTAATATTATTATAGTTTCCGTGTCAATTTCAGATGATTTATTTCTATAACGTTGTTGACTGAACAATTTAACTTGTGTTCAAAAAATTCAAATGAGCTGACGCTAGAGTCGGCTTGCACGTGCAATGTTCCTGGTTGAAATGTCATCTTAGTGACATCGTGCACGGAGGGCAAGCTGCATTTTGTCAGCTCTAACTTCCACATAACTGGCAAAACACCACTTGCTTGATAAGTTTGTGGTAAGTAATCTGGCTGAATAAGCCCAGGAGGACGAATCCGATCGCTTCTTGGCTATGTTCGAGGTGTTGTGTCTGTTCTGATCCCGACGGGTCACCAAACCCGTTTTGGGGGGGGGGGGGGGGGGGGCGTGATATCGCTACTTGTGTCCGGCCGGGCCCGGGGCGATCGCTAGAACAAATTAGAGAGCCGCAGGGCCAAGAGCCACACGCCAGGCGGATTTAAAGTGGTACTGTCCCACTGTGAGTATTGCAGTACTGTTGTGGGAGCCCTCATTGGGACTATCCCAGTATTACAGTATTGATGGGGGAACCCTTAGTGAGACTATCCGAGTATTACAGTAATGACGGGGGAACCCTTAGTGAGACTATCCCAGTATTACAGTAATGCTGGGGGAACCCTTAGTGAGACTATCCCAGTATTACAGTAATGCTGGGGGAACCCTTGGTGAGACTATCCCAGTATTACAGTAATGCTGGGGGAACCCTTAGTGAGACTATCCCAGTATTGCAGTAATGCTGGGGGAACTCTTAGTGAGACTATCCCAGTATTACAAAATTGCTGGAGGAACCCTTAGTGAGACTATCCCAGTATTGCAGTAATGCTGGGGGAACCCTCAGTGAGACTATCCCAGTATTATAGTATCCCTGGGGGAACCCTTAGTGAGACTATCCCAGTATTACAGTATTGCTGGGGGAACCCTTAGTGAGACTATCCCAGTATTACAGTAATGCTGGGGGAGCCCTTAGTGAGACTATCCCAGTATTACAGTATTGCTGGGGGAACCCTTAGTGAGACTATACCAGTATTACAGTAATGCTGGGGGAACCCTTAGTGAGACTATCCCAGTATTACAGTATTGCTGGGGGAACCCTTAGTGAGACTATCCCAGTATAACAGTAATGATGGGGGAACCCTTAGTGAGACTATCCCAGTATAACAGTAATGATGGGGGAACCCTTTATTAAAAACAAATGCCAGTCACATGGAAATACATACATACAACCATTCATGCATGGCTTCCAATATATCAGAAATGAGTTGTTTTTTTTACATTAAAAAAAAAAGAATTTATTTTGAAATTACAAAATACACATTTAAAAATAAAACCAAGATGAAAGCTCAACTGGCTGAAAAGTGACAGAAGAATTAGAAGGACCTAAAGACAAAAAATCAAGCAATGAATTTTGAATATTTTTTTTAAATATATATATATATATTGTGTGTGTGAAAGCTGATATATGCACACAGGCCTCTGTGACAGTCAGAGAGCTGATACATCTACTATCTAAAGCTCAGTGAGCCTATGTTTGTTTGATAATGGGCAAGAAAATGAAATAAGGAATCGCAACTCAGTTTGATGTGGTCATTCCTTCTGACCTACAGATGATTCCTGGAAGGTTTGCTTATAAATTCCCTTATCCCAAAAGACGTAATTTAAAAAAAAAAAATCGTCAAATGTAGAGAGTAAAGAGTAAAATGTAGAGGGTAAAGGGTAAAATAAATAAATATTTTCTAAGCCTTCCAGGGACGTTCAAGTTATTTTTGGTGTACGCATTTTTAATAAGGGGTATCGTTTTTCCCCTTCAGAACGGTGCGCTTTCAACTTTTGTTTGATGCACATATTTTTTAAAATAAATATTTGTTCTACGTTATGCGGCTTCCACAAAAATATTATAAATAATTTTATAACAAAATATTAGATGTTTAATTTGATGCAATTCATTTCTTTCAAGATACAGACATACGTACTGTACCATTTTAAGACTCTACAGTTCTTAGCATGGTAAGAACAAATAAAAGGGGAAAAAAGGGGGGGGGTGGAACATTACATTTGAATTATCACATAGTTCAGGGGCGTGCAATAAATGGTGCTTTGGCGTAAGTGGGGATTTAACTTCCCGGAAGGGGGGGGGGGTTACATTTTTTAATTTTTATTACCAGAAAAAAAAAAAAAAATACTTTACTGAAGGTGTGGGTGCATGTTATGAGTACAAATACGGTAATGTCTCAAAGGCACAATTTGTTTTACGGGGAAAACAATTTCGGTCCATATCCCCCCCCCCCCTTTTAAAAAAAAATAAAATATATTGACATGTTTACATTAACTATAAGCTTCTTAAATGCCACACACAACAAGTCTAAGCTAATGGCATGGGCTTTGCTAACGTCATAACGATATTCATCCACCCTTATACTGATGATATGTTGTTGTGTGTCTTGAATACAACTATAATGTTAATTTAAATCTCTTAGTGAGATTGCGAATTTTCATCCGTGTATCTTTCTAGTGTAATGTTATCTACTATATGTATGAGAAAATATAGCCATCTTACCACATACTTTTTAATATGGATCAATGGATCACTTCATATACCACTTCATAATCCAAAAGAAAATGCTAATGGTGTTTGAATATTGTTTTACATATTCTGATCATTTATATATATATATATATATATATATATATATATATATATATATATATATGAAAATTTGACACTCTGAGAGCTTATTAACATATGTGTGTGATATATCCAAAAATCAGATATATATAGACCTGTGATACAAGCTGATGTACAGATAGACCTCTGAGACAGTAACAGCGCTAAAGTTTGCTCAAGCAATAATGGAATGAGTGATTAGACAAATAAAACATACGGGAGGAACAAATTTATGTAAAAATACATTTCTTATAACAGTTAACAATAGGATATTCAATGAGCAAAACAGGGATGAGTAAGCTGGGCATGTTGTGTGTGCTGGGCATGTTGTGTAAGCTGGGCATGCTGTGTAGGCTGGGCAGGTAGTGTGTGCTGGGTATGTTGTGTGTGCTGGGCATGTTTTGTGTGCTGGGCATGTTGTGTAAGCTGGGCATGCTGTGTAGGCTGGGCATGTTGTGTGTGCTGGGCATGCAGTGTGTGATGGGCATGTTGTGTAAGCTGGGCATGCTGTGTGTGCTAACAAGAAGCAGTAGATGTGTAAGAGGATAAAAATCATGAATGTATTATTGTATTTCATAGACCTTTTATGAGGATGCTGAGCTTGGAAGCTCTGGTGACTACTGTGTCAAGGGAATGATCTTGTTGCACGAAGTGGAATGATGCTTCTGAGAAACTTAAGATTGAATGAGTACATTGGTTTGAACTTTGGCCTTGACAACGTTCCTGGTTTATTGAAGGTGTTAAAAGAATTCTGTAAGACTTTCAGTAGGGAAGTAACATGGAAGTAATATAAAGGGGTCATGATAAACATTGCCTTGAAAGAGAGTTTTGATTGCTTGCAATAGGTTAAATTAAATATAAAAAGTTGTGCTTATCTTATTTTTCTTTTAAAAAAATGTTTATTATGAAATTGGTTTATGCCCTGATATTTTAAAATAAGTCTTCATGATGATATTTGTTGTATAAAAATGTATTTATGAACAATTATGACTTACAAAAAAACATGTTTGGATCAGTGTGTCTGTAGAGCAAGTATGCCATATGATGGTGAGTTTTGATGTCTGTAGAGCAAGTATGCCATATGATGGTGAGTTTTGATGTCTGTAGAGCAAGTATGCCATATGATGGTGAGTTTTGCTAAGCTTACAAAGAAGTATTTAGAATTTAAGAAATAATATAGCCAAGGATTCACCTCAAATAGTTCAATGCATTATTTACAACATTAAAAAGAGCAGTCAATGTAAATATGTGTAGATCCTGTTTTATTCAATCTGTTAGAAATAATTATATTTTGGTATATGATGGGTGATTTTTACACTAGAGAAATACTTTAGATGCAATGTGTTTAAATTGTTCAAATTTAGAAAATGTTGTCTAGGTTAAAATATGCATTTATATATATATATATATATGATGAAAATGAATATTTACAATGTAATCTAAAAAAACAAACATTCCCATACATTTGCATCAATAAAAGAATCTTATCTTATCTTACAATGAGTCTTAGAATGATCATAAGAGAATATTTCACCACGGAAAACACAAAGTTCATTGCCGTTTAAATCTATACAATAATTGAAGCAACATGCCACAAACGCCATGTCCAAGACATCATTTCAAATTGATATCAAACTTAGAACAACAATAAATATAGTCAAGCCATTTTTAAATGAATTTGAAGCTCAAAGGGTTTAAATGAATACCGGTAACTTAAATAACTAAAGAAGTAAATTTTTCCAACTCATTTCATAGCAAAACAACATGAAAATTTCATTTCTTTCAATAATACTATTGATTGAGGAATTCCAAGATATCGCTGTTAAAGATGCTGCCAGGTTTAACCAACAAAAATTGAAGTCAAGTATTAAAACACAGCTAGGAATGTGAGTTTTAAAATAAAATTCTTATTTACACGGAAAACAGGGTTATTGTATCGAATAGTTTTCAGTATTCGTCGTAATGTCTATGGTTCCACGAATTAAAATCATAAAATACAAATTCATTTCTATTGAAATCATTCTGATGACAAGATATGTCCAAGATGGTCACGAAATGCCCTTAGATCATAATAAGTGAGAATTTTTATTGACCTCTGGTATTTGTGAAATAAGTGGGCCAATTTGCACTAAGATCATGACAGTGCCCATTTCTGTCAATAAAATTAACACTTTAGTTAGGTTACACAAGTCAGCACATGCAGCAGTAGAAAGCCCCATTGAACCCTGTTGATTTGTATAGGAACATGTTCCAACTCCAAGGGTTAACAGTTCTTTGAGACAGCTGTGTTTAACAAATAAGTTACATTGGTAGATTAAGTAATGCCTTAATCCATGTCAAGCAATAACCTCAGTGACTAGTCTTAATAAAGTCAATCAAATGTACTTACATTTTAAAAAAAGTGGGAAGGGGTGAGTAAAGAATTCAATGAAGTAATTTCAGTGTATTTATATCATAGCTTGGTTGGGGAGAAACAACGTGGTTGGGGGGGGGGGGGGGGGGGGAAGGGATCAGTGGGGAGATAAAATCACCAGCACTTAAGACAGGACATATATCCTTCTTCATGATACAACACAATAATGGTGAAGCACGTGGCTATTCACAAATGACTAATACATGAGGTTTCTAGAGCTGTGGTCATGTCACACAGTCAAAACAAAGAGACGCATAAGTTTAATTATTATTAAAGCTTAAATTATATTATTATAGTGGCACAAATTGTTGGTGTCTAATTAATCTATTTTAAAGCTTTATCGCAGTCCAACACTTTTTATAATTAGTTAATAAAAAAACAGTACAATTTTCCTGTTAAATTCCCCTCCCACCCTTTCCCCCCCTGGACAATAATGTTTGTGCCTGTGGCAGGATTTTTTTGTCCCCATTTCAAAAAGCAATGAAGTTCGTTTGCCCAGTAGATTGGTCAAACTAAGCTTTAAAGAAACAGCCAAAACTCTTTCTACCCAATGAACAACTTTCACTTCACCAGGACAGAGAAATACATACGTTAATAACATGTTATGTCCATACTTCATAGAAACATCTTTTGGATCAAATTTCATTAAATAAAATTGTAATGTTTGATTGTGTGCAACATTATGGTCAACATTCAGATCAACAAAATAAATAACAGCGAAGACCTACGCTGGTAAAATCAATCAGCCTGCCAAAAGTTTCTTTTACTGTACATTAAAATCAGATAAAGAAGCATTTTAAGCACAAAAAACCTGAATGACATGAAAAGCTTGACTGAAAAATGTCATGGATCAAAATTGGAAATAATAAAGCCACTGATCCTTAGTACCGTGTGTTGCTCTAGCTATATAAACCAATAAATTTAGAAATATTTTCATTTTTGCATTAAAAAAATTGGTTTGGCTGAAAACAGACGGCATGAAGATTATTTAAAGCTAAACAGGGCTTAAAATACAAACAATCTGCCAAAATATGTAAGATTAAAATCTTCCAGTTGAGATTAAGCATGTTTACCAATAATACTTGATAACAAACTATCCATACAATAGCTGGGTCAGTGAACATCTCCCTGCATTCATCCTCCTCTTGATAACAAGGTTGAAACTAAGTACCAAACAATAAACTATATCACATTAATATTTTTCGTACTGAAAAGACTCCTTAAGTACAACTTGTGCTTGAACAAAGACTTACAATACCATTCAGATTTTTTTTAAAGAAAGCTCTCATATATAATACAATAGATGATCAATCAAAATCAATAACATATAAGCTTACAGCAGTGTGAGAGAATCTTTTTTTTTTTTTTTAATACATTTTTTTTAAAGAAAAAAATTCCCAAACTGGCACATCCGGAGTAACAGGAAAGAGAATAACATCTGGCACAGTTACACCATCCGTGTGTGTGTGAATACTAAATAAGAACAGTAGAAATATTAAAACAGGAAAGAGAAGAACCTCTGGCACAGTTAAACCATCCGTGTGTTTGTGAATACTAAAAAAGAACAGTAAAAATATTACAACTCCAAAAAAAAAAAAAAAAAAGGAACTGATAAACTTTAGTTTAATTTTTATGTTTAAACTTTGTATAAATCTGCATGTTTTCTCTAATAAAAATTCAATTAAAAATTCTATATTTCTGGAGATTAAATAGAAATTGTATAAACACATTCTTGAATTCAACCCGGGTTTATCAATTAATGGTTTAGTTGTTTTTTGTGGCATTTACGGATACAGAAAATATTGTAAATGAACATTTTGATCTCAATCCTGCTAGATGATTAGTAACAAACATGTAACACTGCAGAGTTCAGTAAAATTCAAAGACAATTTATTTACTTTAATATTAAAAAATGGAACTTAAAAACTGGAACAATAACCAAATTTTTAATGATTTCTCTGTGTGTTTTCCAATAAATATGCAGACGCTCTGATTTATTTGTTTATTTTTAAATACTGTGACAAAGGGAGGGCATGATAATAATGTAAAACAAAAGAATCTCTTATCAAAAGGAAAGTACTTTGATCAGACAGTTTAACTAATGTGGTGGGTCCTGTCCCACAGGGAGCTTTTCTATCAACAACAATATAATTTATTTCATAAAATTGCAAAACTATTTTACATTTACTAGTATAATGCTGTTGATGTATGTTATGAAATGAAATTTTTATGATCTTTCATGCATGGGCACATTTCAACAAAAAGAAAAAAACTCAAAATTTTTTAAAATTAGTTTTTTTAAAATTTCCTTGATAAAGTAAAAACAATATTGATCTAATAAGAGCCATGAAAACTCTTAGTTTTTACATGAAATACATGAATAAAACTTAGCACAAGATGGCCGCAGCTCATGTGCCTACACTTAGTTCAAGAATGATAAAATCTTTACAGCAAACAATGATATAAAAATACGGCACACTCCAAGTTCAAATAATCAATACTTAGAGGCCAGCCTCTGTGTATGGGGTGTACAAATGTCAAAATTCATTCCTCAAATGTTCCCTGTGTATATATTATGTCCATTCTCAGAATGTACTAGATGGAGAAAAAACATTCTAGTCTTACATGATATCTCCATGTCTAGAACTAAGAAAAATATTGTATTAAAACCAATCCTTATTTTAAGCTTTAAAAATGTACAACATTAAACATGAGTTACAGCTTATTAGTCAAGTTAGGGTACAACAGTTAAACTGTTGGCAGATATCAGGTACGTAACACATCCTTTTAAACCTAAAATGACCAATGGACAAAAACTTCCTACAGTGGAGTTCTGTATCAAATTAAAATTCTGGTTTATAAAAAAACTAAATTTGCACAGGAACTTTAAAAAATATAACCAGGTAAAATATTTTTAAAAAATATTGACAGATAATCTGGATAAATTTGAAAGTGAGATTGTCATGGAGAAAGATCATGTGTAAGTGCACTGCACACAACTAAAACAAATTTTCATAGGGAAAGATCATAAGTAAGTGCATTGCACAAAACTAAAACAACTTGTCATGGGGAAAGATCATGTGTAAGTGCACTGCACACAACTAAAACAGCTTTTCATAGGGAAAGATTATATGTAAGTGCACTGCACACAACTAAAATAACAAACAACTTCAAAGCCAGTTGCTAAGCACATCTCAATGTCAGTTAAACTACTCAAAAAATGTACATACAAATGCAGACTTGCTTGTCTGCCCTATGCAAAATGGCTGTATACTAAACAGTACAATGAAAATGATGAGTGAGCAAACATCTTACAAAATGTCATTTTGGCCAATACCTGTTGAAAAACAGTTATCTTTTAATACAGTCAGTGCAAAAAAAAACTAATTTAATACAGCCATTTTATTTACTTAAAAGCATCTTATTTCATTATGTAAATAAGTTAAGAAAGGAATATGATAAAAGTAGAGTTAACCTATTGTCTACAGAGTTCTTTTTATGCATTTGGATATTGACTAAATTTAAGTGCTTGATAGAACTCCTTTTTAAACCCTTTCATTACCGCTGTTTTTTTTGGTTTTTTTGGGGCATCAATTTTTGCTGACTTTTTTTTAACCTCTATAAATTAAGGAAGAAAGAAATATATAGCACTGAAATATGACATCAACATGACGTCTTTGGTATTTCAGAAAAGTTCTTTGCCTCTTTTGTTATGACGACAATGTGACATCCTTGGTAATTGAAAGTGGGTGATCGGAACTTCAAGTTGACGTCAGCGGTAATGAACTGGTTTAGAGCTTTTTGTTTATATCAATGAAAAAAAGAAATGAAAGGCAACTCAAAATGCATCCCTCACAAAAAATTTAAATAATGGTTGTATTGATAGATATTGAAAGAGTGCGGTAAAAATAAATTCACGTTTCCTACTAAGATACATCT